ATGTCGGCCCTAGTCCAGACGCCTTAGATTGATAGATTTTGCCGCCACATTCCCAACCTCATCTCAAAATGGGGGCACTCTCAAGTTGCTTGGTTTCTCTTTACTTCAGTTTCCCTTCAAAACCCAACACACGGGGCTCCCCAAATACAATGAAGATCACCTTTTCCCGGTGCAGCAGGCGACTGCACACTTTCGTGGGGCATGGCCGCGCATTTTGAAGCGCCAAGTTTCAGGGCGAGCCAAGCTTTCAGGGATAGCTTTGAGGACATTTGGCCAAAGGGCTGGGTCCCACTTTGGGAACTGTTGGGTCGCGATACATCCGGTCGCCTGTGGGTCGCTCCGCGCCCCACTTCACTGGTCCCCTTCACCCTATGCCAAATCAGAAATCAGAAAGCCTCTAAAGAACTCAGGAGGGAGGTGGGGGAGGTGGGGGAGGTGGGGGAGGCGATGTCTTGCCGAGAGGTGGGTGCCCTGGGAGCAGAGCCGACGCACCTGAAGAGCTGCGAGGCTCAGGTGCTGCTGGAGGCGCTGAAGATCTTGGATCTGCTGCTGTCGGAGGATCGGAAGGGGACGGGGGGGGGGAAGGACAGAAGGACAGGGGGGAAGCGGGTCAGGGGAAACGAGGCTTCTTTGGGGGTGAGGCTGGTTGCTGGGTTGGTTGATTGCTCGGCTTTGCTGGGTTTCCGGTTCCTGGGCGTGGTTGCTTGGCATGCCAAAAACAAGCAGGAGGGTTGTTGTGGGCGGTGGGGGGATTGAATCAGGTTTATGGGGAGTGAACCCTTGCGAGCCCCTCAGCCCATGCAAGTGGGTGCTTGGTGGCCCCCTACAGCAAAGCCAGCGAGATTTGCCAGGGCCGACCTTCATACGCAGTTTGTTGCAACAAGAGATGCATCATGTATCCACACCATTGATTCTTGATACATGATTCTTAATTATTGTTGCTAAGAATCAGGAGCCACTAATGCCTTGCAACAGGAGCAAGAAGAGAACCCAATGTTATGTTGATGGTTTGACAAGGTGCCAACATAGCAGCCAACAAGTCCTTTCCGGGCCATTTCCCGTGAGGCGTGTCCAGACTACCGGAACCCAGAGCTGGTGCAGCTGGTGTCACAGGCCGGACCGTGCACCCCTTGGTGCTAAGCCCATGATGATGGATTCTCCCGAAAAAGGACAGCAGAAGGATGTTTTTCTTTTTTTCTTTCGAATCTTTCGGACCCCTGCTTAACAGCCAGGGAAACCAAAGGGAGTTTTCAGAAGAAGCTAAAGGCATCTTAAACATGTCGTACTGGGGCCACACTACCATTTTCGGGGGTGGGGGGGCCTATTCTGCCACAGCAAAAAACACCCACAGACCACCAAGCCCGGAAATCACGGGTTCACCGTTTTTGGGCCAGAAGTCAACAGGAGACACCTGAGACCCCCATCATTTCAGGTCAGTACCCCTTAATTGGCTTGAAATTGTTTTGGGGACGTCTTAAGGTCCAAACAAAACCACACCCAGTTCGCCGCCTGACGGTCTGACGGTCTGACGCTCGCGTTCAGCCTGGCAGGTCTCAGCGTACAAGCGCTTCCTGCGGCCCGGCGGCCAGTGGAAGGACTGGAAGAGCGCGGGCCGCTGCTGCACCTGCATGCCCCCTGGCTCGCTCCCCTGGTGGACGGCGTTTTGGACCCGGCCTTGTGGCTTCCCCCCCGGGTTTTTTCTCTGAGCCAACCCAGGGGTTTGTGTGTTTGGGGCATGCCCAGAGTGAGGAGTTTGGAACGATTGCTCCGAGCCTTTGCAAAGTGACCCAACCACCAGGATGGAACGGGTCGAATGGCAGCAACTGGGCATCCATGTATGGGATTTGCGTCAAACAGGGGAAGCTTGATTGCTTTGGTTTCTTTTTAAAGCAACCCGAAAAGAGGTACACTCCCCAGTTCAGTGGATTCCGTGTGGAAATCCTTGTTGTTTTTGTTCAGTCCCCTGCTGGAAATGGGGGGATGTGTGCACCCAAGTCTTTCAGGCAACCCCTTGGTGGTTTGGATTGGTGATTTGGGGGATTTGACCCCCTTTTTTTCTGATTGCAGGGCAAATACAAATTTTCTCCTTAGCCAGCGCACCACTCCAAACCACCAACAAGCGGTGGGAAGCTGAGATCTGGCCTTTTTTCCCACAAGGGAAGCCTCTGGGCTTCCTTACGACGTTTCCCTTGAGGGTCCACCATGAATTCGGGTTCTTCGCCGTGCGTTGACGCCGCGTCTTTTGAGGTCGCCGTCTCCAAACCTCCCCCCGGCTTCTCGGCTTCTCGGCTTCTCGGCTTCTCGGCTCAGGAAGCCGGTGGATCGGAAGGAGAAGGGCCTGCAGTGCGACGTGGGGAACCTGAGGCTCTGCTGGAGCTGCGTGCCAAGCCACATGGACTGGCAACGCCTACACGAGAGCGGAACCTCGACTTAGGGGGTGCTAAATAGCGTGTACTATCTATCTACCTACCTACCCACCTATCTATAAATGTTTTTCACCTGTCTATTTTATCTATCTATGTATCTATCTATCTACCTACCTACTTACCTATCGACCTACCTATCTATCTATCTATCTATCTATCTATCTATCTATCTATCTAGCTATCTTTCTATAAATGTCTCCCTTACCTGTCTATTTTATCTATCTATGTATCTATCCGTTGATCTATCTAGCTCATCTATCAATCTGGTCTCATCCAATCTAACCTAGCCTAGTCGAATCCTGCGTATCCAACGTATCCTGTCTTCCAGACTAATGTATCTGATCTAGTCTTATCAGATATGTTCTCTTCTTTTCTTCTCTGACAAACAAACGAACTGGCGAACTAACTGGCTAACTAACTGGCTAACTAACTAGCTAACCAACCAACCAACCAACCAACCAACCAACCAACCAACCAACCAACCAACCAACCAACCAACCAACCAACCAACCAACCAACCAACCAACCAACTGGCTATCTAATTAACCAACTAATCTATTTGGCCTAGTTTAACCCAATCTCGTCTAATCTAGTCTAATCCTATCTATCTAGCTATCTAATCTAATCTAATCTAGTCTTGTCTTGTCTTGTCTTATCTCATCTATCCAATCCAATCTATCTATCCATCCATCTATCTGTCTAATAGATCTAATTTAATCTGTCCAATCTATCCATTCTATTTCATCTATCCCGTCCCATCCCATCCCATCCCATCCTATCCTATCCTATCTATCTACCAGTACAAGTGTAGACGCTATCGTATTGCATACGGTTGAATATGGGCACAGATGCACCTATATCATAGACACACAAATGCACATACACCTTGTTTCTCAAGTTTATCAAGGGGACACCAAGAACTGGATAGGTGGTTATTGCTTCTCCAGGGATTGGTCACTGGTCGATATGTCCAGGCCCTCTATTTAGCACCCAGAGGTGTGGCGCGGCTCTGGCCCCAGGCAGGCAGAGAGCCCATTTAGAGCCCTCCAGCCGTGCCGGCTGCCAGGTTTCTTGAGGCGTTTCTTCTAAATGCGGCGCGGGCTTTGGGTATTTAAGCGGAGGTCAACAGGAAGCCAACCGGTTTAGGCCAGCAGTTTTGGACACATGGGATCGAAGCCGGCTTGGGGCCAGGCCCTTTTTTTTCTCCGCGCCCGCACCTCGGCATGTGAAGGGCCCAGTTCTAACTGGCCGGAGGCTCTTGTAAATATCGAGGGCGCGAGAAGGCGCCGGGCCAAAGTGCCTGGGATACGAGCTGCCGCCGGGCATGGCCGGCGACCCCGCCCTTCGGGATCTGGCCGCACGGATTTTTTTCCTTTGAGCTCTTGCCGCTTGCGTCTTCCATGGGACTGAAGATGAGCTTCTGGTTTTCTCAACCTGGCTGGTAGACCTTTTAGTTTTGTCACCCTCTCGATCCTTGCTTTCAAGCCTCCCGTAGCAAATTGGTGGGACCGATGCGGCAGCTTTGTCCTTCTAGGCACTTCCCAAACCGCAAGCAAGGCGAATCCAAATGAGCGTTCTGTTTTCTGATGGTAATTACCTGTGTTGAGTTGTTTTGTTACAAGGGGCGCTGAAAGACCACATGTTCACAAGTTTCATTTTGGTGGTTTCTTCCCCCATCTTACGACTCCCGATTGCAGAAAGAGAGATGGGGACGGGTGGTGGACGCACAGCCCCTGGCGTTGAGACTTCATCGTTCTTCCTTTTCCAGGGCTCCTTAAAAGATACATTTTGCCCATTTGAAACATGGCTTTTGTTACCAAAATGGTGTATAATGTAAGGATCCCCTGTTTTCCTTCCCGAAACCATCCCGACCAGGGCACCATCATGAAGAACACGCCATTTGGGTGGGAAAGGCTTCAGGTTGGCCATTTTCCAGTGGGGTCGCCAAGGCCCTGTGCTTTGGAGCAGTTGTGCTAGCTTTTGCCAGGCAAGGCAGACTGCAAATACCAGGGCTGAATACAGCCAGCACCCTCAAGCCTTCAGAGAGGCAGTCGATAGCAATTTATTGCGTTGATTCCTTAGATGCCTCTCATTTTTTTCTGTTTGACAAGCGTATTGGAGGCGGATTTGCCTTGAGGCCGCAGCGCAGAAAGCTGTGTTGGAAACCGATGCAGCAAGCGACCGACAGACCCGAAAAGCAAGGTCTGGAATGTGGATCCAGAAAAATGCCTGGCCGGCTTGCGGGATTGTGGGCTTGCTTGTTGGCATTGGGATGTCACCCTTGCATCGGAACAGGCTCCATGGGGCTTTGGTTTTGGCCCTTCCGCATCTCATTTTCGAAGCAGATGTCAGTGAAGCTTTGGTTTTGGGCAACGCCTCAGGGATTAGCCTAAGATCGCTTGGATGAGAGGGCAGATCGGTAAACAAGGGCGGTGGGCCAGCCGGCGGCCCGGAGACACAGAGGCAGCTTTGTTGACTAGTGGATGTGTGTTTCCCCAGTCAAGATCAAACCACCACCTGCAGATAGCCATGTCAGGTCCCGTCTGTTAGCATGTTCGCCATCCGGACTCCGAGGCAGATGTGTGGTGGGGCCTTTGCTCCCTGGCTTTTCAAACTGGGGGCTGGGCACACCTGGCGGGCAACCTCGCCATCAGGCCCTTAATGGGCCGCACGTGCGGGGGGAGGGGAACCATGACGTTTCTGGGGTGTAGGACATGATAATTTTGAGGAATAGATCATTGCAACCCAAGATCTACCAATCCAGGAAACATGAAGCTTGCCGAGCAGGAGTAAGACCGAGGCACGCGACAACGAGACAGATACAGATACAGATGCACGCACAGGGGCCAACCTACACGTGCGCACAGGTACAGGCAAAGGCACAGACACGCACAGACACGGACACACACACACACACACACAATATTGTTGCCCAAAGTTGGACAGGTGGACTATAGGATGAATGGTTGCGGTGAGTTCCCAACTAGTGACATTGTAGCCGGACGGTTGGACATGCCACTCTTTCTTGCACAGGCCCACTGCACCGTTTAAGAGAGTTCCGAGCTTGAACGCAGACGCGTCGGAAATGGTATGGACTCCTTGTCTTGCTGCTTTTGCGCGAATTCTTTGGGGAGTTGCCAGCATGAGGTGTGTGTTTGTTCACGTTCGCTCCACATGTTTCTGAAGGAGCGCACGCAAGGTTGAGTATGAGATAGCATGAGCAGCCTTAAGCTTGGTGTACACCAGCTTTGGACCACCGCTTACACTTGGCTCAAGCACACATTTGGTGGTCGCCGGCGGGTCTGGTTGCTTGGCCTTGCTCGGTTACACTTGGCCCATCCCGATCTGACCTATGGCGCTGGCTGGAAAAGTGCTGTGCAATGCGCGCTGCGACGTCTCTGCAACAAGCTCAGAGCGGAGGCACATGCTAGCCGACACCTCGGTGAGCTCCAAAACTAGGACGTCTGCCACCGTCTCGGGCAGCCGCTGGGACAGGGTGGGACTGGGTTGGGATTTTCTTCCCTTCAAGTGGCGAAGTCTTTGGGACGGCCTTCCGGCCTTCTCGTATTCCCCCGACCCTGTGAACATCTTACCACCACATGCAGTTCCTAGCCGGGTTTTCCCTTGAAGCCTGTCATGGGCCAAAAAGGTGATGTTTAAAAACACCCATTGCTTTCGTCGGACTGCACTGCACGTGTGAGCGCTTTAAACACCAAAAAGGGGAAATGTAGGGGCCGCTTGACCAAGGCAAGATGGACCAGCTAGTCAAGACGCTGCGCAAAGAGCGGCGGCACGCCAAGGCGAAGCTGTCGACCTTCCTGATTGACCACGGCTTCAAAACCAATGCGGCTGACTCCTCCGAAATACCCTCCTATTGAATGGATCCTGACAGGGGTCCCTTTAAAAGGAAAATCGTCTTCCAGGACCCCTGTCAGGTTCCACGTCAATTGGTGGGAGGTACAAGTTTTTTGGGCCAAATATGTTTTCCTCTAAGTAGGATTTGGCCCCCCGGCAGCCTCAACAATATGAGACACCCAAACATAGAACTGAGTCAGACAATGTTATGTTGTTTTTTTGCCACGGAGATGTGGGCCAAGGTGAATTCCCCGAGGAAGCGCTGGTGTGGGATGAGCTACACTTACCCACTCCACGTAGCAGTGGAGCAGTGACCCGGCAGGGGGTGGAGCTGTAAATTCAAGATAAGATAGACCTGATGTGCAGAGAGGCCAACTCAATCACTCATGGAGAGTGTGCGTTTTCTTTGACCACTTTCACCACTTGATACTTTTGATTTCTTGGGAATGCCGAGCCAAATGTTGGGTATCCCGGGCCCCGACAAGGCCGCCTTTTGCCCTGCCAGCAGATGCATCGGGTTCCTCAAAGCAAGCTTTGCCGATGCCAACGTCGCCTATTTCAAAGTAGCTTGCCCTTGGATCCAAGAGCGGATGACAATCGAAATGTCAGTGCGAGTTCTGCCAACATGTCTCGTGAAAGCACACCCGCAGTCTGGCTATTTTTGGGATGGGCAATCGAGTAGGCAATGATATGGTCAATTATTGGTCACGTGCCCAATGTTTTTCGCTGTTATTTCGGGCACGGTCTGGTGGACGTTCTCCAAGAGTACCTGAAAGGCAACCAACCTCAGGTAACCCCGAATTGATGGTTTGGGTTGGTGGTTCGGGGCGAACCGCCAACCACCAAAAAACTGGGGGAAGCAATTCAGCCCCGCAATCGGAGGAACGACGTGGAGATTGTGTCACTGCTGCTGGATTGCGGGGCTGACCCGGAAGCCAGAGACAGCTGGGGCCGCACGCCCCGCCAGCGCGCCGAAAGCGCCGGCGCCGCGGTGCGGCGCAGCTTCGCCGCCCACAAAGCCCGCCGCAAGGTCCTGTTTGGGCTCTGAGGCCGCAGGTCTCGGGGTGCTGACCATGCTGACCTTTTTTTGTAAAGAAGTCGGCGGACTCGGATCATTTTTATTTCTGAAAATCGCATAATTCAAAGGTTGATTGAAGTAGCGCATACTCTTGTCCTTGAGGCCTTCGTTGTCTAGGCCATGAGCTGTCCGAGCCAAAGGCAGGAAGTCCGTGGCGAACTTGCCTCAAGCCTCAAGAGAATGCGCGTCATTTTTCAAGTTCTTTGTGCAGGAGTTATGGGTGTGGCTCAAAATTAAAGAGCTAGGAGTACGCGGGTTTTAGTCTTTGGTTCCATTTGCCAAGGTGCAATTGTGGTACATTTATTCATGGTTGTTGCTGGGAAGCATTTTACATTTTTGCTGATTGTGGTTTAGTGGGAAATCCCCACTTAGCTGCTAAAATTTGAGATGTTTTGCTCCCCAAACCCAACGTCAACCAAGTATTTGAGCCACAGCCTTATAGTTCGCTCAGTCGCTGAGACTTGAAATTTAACGATTTTGGGCCGAGCGAGCCTTGAAGTGTGGCACCCAGCCGCTTCAAGTGGGCCAAGCAAGGGCGATGGCCTTGATTACACCGGGGTGAAAGTAGACGCCACAATTCCCCTTGTCATGGTTGTTGTTGGGACACATTTTTCACATTTTTGCTTGTTGTGGTGGAAATCCAAATCCACGCTGAAATTTAATTTTTTTGCTCCCCAAACCCAACGTCAGCCAGGTTGTAAGAAAAGGGGCTGAGAAACGCACAATGGGTTGAAATTGTGTCGTTTACTTTCGCCCTAGGACTTTGACTGTTTGACTTTGGCTTGAGCCGAGCCATGCATCCAGTTTTTGCCCTGAGTCCATCCAGGCAAAAGCGAGGGTGACAAGCAATCTCAACTTGCTCAATTTAGGCCAAGCACGCGTGAAACCATGTCTGGTTGCAGGTTGGTTTGCTGCTCGTGGGCAGCATTCCTCGAAAAGTCTACTTTTTGACCTCCAGACAGATCTCACCCATGGCTGAAATTTGCTCACTCAATTCCCATTTCTTGGAAACACCCATCATGACTCATGACCCACTAGGCAAAGCCAAGATAACTGTTGGAGAATACTAAACTATAGAAGAATCATTTGACCAGCACCCTCCAGGGTGGTCCATTTGTACCCTAAATGGCTGACACGGCACAAATGGACTGCCCTTGGAGGGTGCTGGGAGCTTCCCATTTGCGCCGGGGTGGGGGTCAGTTGGACGAGGCGCTCGATTGAGGCGAACCGGCGCCGGGGGAGTACCGCTTCAACGGCGCCAAGGAGCTGGCTGACCTGCTGAACCGTGGCAAAGCGAGCGATTTGTTTTTGAGGGTACCCTTTCCTGGGAACAGATGCTTTTTCTTTTTTATTACTCGCCCCGGCTCGGGGCTTCGCCCCGGAGGACTGGTTGGTTGGTTGGTTGGCTGGCTGGCTGGCTGGCTGGCTGGCTGGCTGGCTGGTTGGTTGGTTGGTTGGTTGGTTGGTTCGCTGGTTGGTTGGTTGGTTGGTTGGTTGGTTGGTTGGTTGGTTGGCTGGTTGGTTGGTTGGTTGGTTGGTTGGTTGGTTGGTTGGTTGGTTGGTTGGTTGGTTGGTTGGTTGGTTGGTTGGTTGGTTGGTTGGTTGGTTGGCTGGGCGGCGCATCCTCAGCATCCCCAGTTACTTGGTGTCAGGGCTGCGTATTGGCCAGAGTTGCCCGGGCAAAACCGGCCACATTCCCAGTATCACCGGCCTCGCTCGGACAAGGAGTTCAGAGTTCAGAGTTGCTCGAGGCTGGTTTCGGGTGAGTGTTGGGCTTGCTGAGGTCTTGCAACGAGGGCGGGTCTTGGGTTTGTTGGGGCTTCATTCAGGCTCAGTAAACGGCTGATATCCAGGATGTTGGGAGGGTTTAAGGTTTCTTAGAGTCGGCCTGTGGTGGCGTGGGGCTGATTTCAGTTTTTGCAGTAGCTGTTGGGCTGCTTCAGGGCGTGGGGATGCAAGTCGCCCTGAAGCAGCCCAAACGCGCAAATCAGCCCCACGCCAACCCAAGCCGACTCAAAGTCAACCTTAAACCCTCCCAACACATCCTATATCAGCCGTTTACTGAGCCTAACTGAACCCCCAACAAACCCAAGACCCGCCCTCATTGCAAGACCTCAGCAAGCCCAACACTCACCCGAAACCAGCCTCGAGCAACTCCGAACTGCCACCAAATCAAAGCCACTAGGCAGCCCTAGACCGAGCGAGGCCGGTGATGCTGGGGATTCGGCCAACTGCCAGGTTTCTGGTGATGCTGGGGATTCGGCCAACTGGCCAAGTAGAGAATACCGTTTGTCGCCCCCAACCTGAGCGCAAAGGGGTTCCCAACCGCTTTATGTAATGTGCCACATGAAGGAGGCCTTGCCAAGACTAGTTAAGAAAACAAAAACACCTCAACCCCTTCCCTGCTGGGCTTGGAGGAAACCAGCCAGGAAACCACAGATTTTTGGGGTTCGCCCATTCGAAAGTAAACCCCTGTATTGGCCCTTTTTTTCTCCAGGTGCCCAGATGAGAATGGTCCCCTTGGAAATGGCACCGGCGAGAGTAGCCTGAAGACGGTGCATCCATTCTATTTTGGGAAAGATGGAGTAAAGGAACTCTGCCATCTATTTTTCTAAGAGGAGGGATCCAATGAGACAGTTAGGAAGTTGTAGCCGCACCTTCATCATTCCAAAGGTTCTTGGCTTCGGATCAGGTTGCGGGCAGTTGAAGGCAGGTGGCTGGTGGAAAGCGGGGGAAGGGGATCACCCTTAAGCGTCTACATTTGACCTACCCAGGATCCTTGAACCAGCCCGCGTGGAGTTTCAGAAACCCGCGGCCCCGGATTTCCAGCGGTGATTTTGTGTAACCAGATGTGTGACGGAAGGACTGTTGCACAAGGACCAACAACAGAGGGCGGATGGTTTGGATGGCCAGCCGTGACATGCATCCAAGGAAAGAGGTGGGCCTTCAATGGCAGGCGCAGTCGGGGTTGTGGTCAGGGCTACCTGCGCTCTGTGTGCGTTTGCGCGCGCGCCCATAATGTGCAAGCTTGGGTGGGCTTTGTTGAACATGATCGGCATGTTCCGCGTGTGGAGTTGCAACTCCTGCAATTGTTTGGGCCTGAGTGCTGGCAAACGTGCCAGGGACGTTTTTATGGAGCCACGTACTGTTCAGCTTTGACCCTGAAGCTTTCTAGCGCCCAGCTTGATGACTTTCTCTCCGGCTTTTGCTTGACAGTCTTGGCTTGGAAGTCACCATGCGCCTGGGGAGTATGATCAATGACGCCCTAACGACTCAACTGCATGATTTGGAACTTTCCGAGTCTGTGATGTTTTTCTTGCCGGAGTTTGGCAAGCGCGAAAAGCAGAGCCATAAGATACACAACAGCACCTGCCAGACTTAGCCGTTTTACATCTACATCCCCCCTTGAAGCCCTGGCAAAGGCAATAATTGGGGGGCAAATGGAATTTGGAGGAATTGGGGGACCCCCTTCCGCTCCTTCCCTTGTGAAGTAAGAGGGTGTCAAACTACCGCGCCTAAGATGATGGCTGCGGGCACCAGTGTTCCATTTGTAGAAGCCGCATGCTCTCAAAGTGCGCTTAAGCCGCAGGTCGACGGCCTTTTCGTTGCCAAGCAAAGGGGAAGTCTTCCTTCGCTTGCTGGCTCGCTGGCGATCAACCAGTCCCTCACAGGGCTCCTTAAAAGATCTCCATCTTGCCCATTTTGAAACATGTTGCTTTTTCAACACCCAAACAAAGTTGGACACCACCTAAGAAAACAAGTTGCAAGGTCCGATCGGTGTTTCTATTGCATCCGGCTCCCCGTTTTCTTTCCCATGGAAAACCCGCCCGCGCAAGTTCGACTTCGGTGCCCAAAGTTCGAAGTCGGCCGCAGGCCGTGATGTCCTTCCACCAGTGCGGCGGCAACGTGGGGGACTCCGTGAGCTTCCCAATCCCGGCGGGACGGCCTGTCGTTTGGAGCTGGGGCAAGTTGTGGCGGGTTGCAGGTCACTCCTAAAATGGGGGTGTCCTTTCGGCTTCCCTTTGAACCCCCCTAAAAAAGTACCCGCAAAACACGGCCCGACCGGGGGACGCAAAATTGCAGAGATTCGGAAAGCGCCAACATGGCCAGCAGCGACACGTAGTTGAATGCCAGTGAGAGGATCCACTTTGCGACCACCCAGCCCCCAATTTAGTTGACATGTTGGTTGATCCAGGGTCAGCATGATTTGACTGGCCTTTTGACTGGAAAGGCGCCGGTTTGCGCGGTTTGCGCGCCAGGCTTGGTGCCTGGACAAGGCCAGAAGCAGCGGTCTGCTGTATAAGAGCGGCTTGGACCGAAAGTTGGCTCGCCCTATCGGCAGGGTACTGGAAGGGAAGCATCTGGTGGATCCCCTTTGAACGGGTTGAACCTCGAATGCGGGCTCTAAAACTGGGCCCGCAAAATGGTCGTTCTCCCGGGCAGCAAAGGAACGCTGCTAGGACTGACGGCATGCCTCTGAAAAGGGTGGGCTGCTGTAAAGCCCGTCTCTACACAGCAAAGCCTCTCCCTTGAGGTGTCATTTGCTTCGCTTGCTATCATTCGCTGTGCTTGCCACTGAGGAAGTAGTGTGAAGTAGTGTCTTCTCCTCAGGGACACAAGCAGGGGTGGCAATATAGATTTTGTTATGTAGATTTCTCCTCCCGATGCGGTAGCAGACCACCAGATTCGACAGACTAACGCCGAAAAAAAGCAACATTTTTTTGGGTACCTAAGTCCCGGCACTAATGGCTAGCGCGCGGGGGCTAACTCTTGAAATGTCAATCAATGGATTGAAGGCTCTTCGCTTCCCCTTTCTCAGAAATCGGTTCCTTTTGGCTTATGGTTTCCCTTGGTGCCTTGGGTGCTCACGCCGGGCCGGAGAACGGGGAAAGCTGCAGCCGGACATTCTGACTGCAAAGGGATCGTGACTCCGAGGCAAGTCCGGCGTCATCTCGGAGGCGACCGGAGCAATGGATGGCCATCGGAAAGGGGTTCTTTTGGTTTCTTCCTTTTGAGCTGGGTGGTGAAGGCTGATTTCCAATGTGCAAGTTGCGCCTGACGGCGTAGGACAGATGCTGATTGCGTGTGATTAGCAAGCAACAGATGTTTGGACATAGTGGGCAATGTTTGAGTTCCAGCATGTTATACTTTTCCGGAGGCCTCTTTTTTGTCGCAAACCACAAGTTTTTCTTTTTGTTGTCTAATTAACCCCGCTCAAGTATGGAGGTTCAATAAGAGTGAAACGGCCGGTTTTGGAAGCCGCCCTGGGGAGCTTTACCCTAGGATCGGACACGAATGTTCAGCCGTGAAAGCCATGCAGCAGCCAAGCTTTTTGATTGCTCGGGGAAGGGTTGGCACCCTGCCAAAGAACTCTCTAGACCATTTCGTGGCTGAAGCAGCCGGCCGAAAAGGCCCTCCGACCTTTTTTGTGATAGAATGGGCGCCACTGTGCTCCCCTGATGGACTTGCAAAAAGGGGCCCACAAAAAGAAGATTGCACAGCCAACCATGGGTGTGATGTTAATCTGCAAGGGGCTCCTTGGGCATCAGCTTTCTGTCCAAGCAAAAAGCAACCCTGCAAACCCTGCGGCCTCCGGTCGGTTCTGGAGCCAGCTCAAACGAGGGTCTAACCAAGGCCATTGCTATACCAAACAATGATTGCAGTGCACCGCTCAGAAGCATGGATCCCCATTTGATGCAAGAACCGCCCCTTGTAATTTTCTCGCGGAACCCAAAGATTGGATCCCTGAGATCCCAGCCGTGCCAGGATTGCCTGTCGCTTTCTGCTGACCATGAGAACATCTTCCCGGCGAAGAGCGGCACTCGGACGGCACTGCAGTGCTACCAGGCTCCTTTTTTTTTCTGGGGGGTGTGGGGGTTGGGAAGGTTTGGGGTTGGGTGCTTACCTGGGGGGCTCCTGTTAGTATGAGACCTTCGGTCCCGTTTGGTTTCGCTGGTATCGTGCAGTCTGTATTCCTTCTCTTCAGTCCGGTGGCGGATATTCGCAAAGAGTTTTCCAGGGTTTTCGGTGGGGGCCTCGGTTCTTTTCGGTTCTTTTCGGCCGGCCCCTAGACTTTGGGTCGTGCTCTTCGGGTGCTTCCTTCTTCCGGTCCGGCGGTCTTTCTGGCAAAACTTCCGGCCGTCGGGTAGTCTTCAGGTCGTCTGCCTCAGTGGTTCAAAGCGAATCGACCTTTGGACCTTTTGGTTTGGACCCAGTTTGGTCCATATTTAGTTTTGGCAACCCGAAAGGTGATCACCTTTTAGTTGCAGGTCCTTTGGGCAACTGAGCTGCTCCCCGTCTTCCTGTATAGTGCACTCTTTTTCTCAAGGATGTCTCGAAAGCGAGGCGAAGGATGTGAACATTCAGGCGCTCCAATTGGTCTTCGAGGTGTCTTCGGGCCTGCAAAATGCATCTGCCTCGGCCTTCAGTCGTCAGCCCGTGTAGTCTGGGAGTCTTCCTGCTGAGTGAGTGTCTTCCCGTAGTTTTTCGGTGGTCTTTTTGTAGTCTGCATACCCGTAGTCTTCCGGTAGTCTTTTGATAGTCTTCGGGCAGTCTTTCCGCTGGTCTTCCAGTGGTCTTCCCGTGGTCTTCCGGGAGTCTTAGGCACGAGGTGCTACAATGCATCGTAGGGTTGCAAAATGCATTTGTCGGCCTCCAGTAGTCTTCCCGTAGCCTTCGAGTAGTCTTTTTTTGATGCGCTGTACGCAAGGCCAAAAAAGAGCGGTCAAAAGCGAAGAATGGTTCGTAACGCTTCGCACGGTTCGTAGCATTCCTTCTGAGTTCGGTGCGGTTCCGACGGCCCTGGCTCGAATGTGTGAAGAAGAATGTCAGCACCTTGCGAAACTTCAGATTTGGAATCATGGGTTGCGACCCTCCTCCTGCCTTGGCCAGCTCAGCAGTACAGGCGCTTCAGAAGCTGGAGACAAGGGCGGACTTCGTGCTATTCACAGGTGATTTCTCAAGGCACAACATGGGGGAAATGGAAGACCCCTTTGACAATGTCTCCAACATCATTGGCGAGGTTTCCTCAGCGATCAAGGATGTCTTGAGGAAGCCTCGATATGCGTTTGGGGTCTTGGGGAATGATGATAACCCTGCAGACTATTTCCAGAATATTACCACCAACGAGCCCTCAAACAGGTGGTTTGAAGCAGTCGGCCAAAAGATTGAGACTGCTCACTGCATGAGTGAAGGGGCGAGGAAGCAGTACAACTACGGAAGCTTTTTTGAGCTTAGGATGGACAGCGTGAGGGTTCTCAATATTGCAACTGTCATCTCCGTAGACCTTGAGCCGCGCACCTCCGAGCCGGATCTCTTTCACCAGTTGGCGTCCGACAAAAGCTGACTGAAGCTGCCCAGAAGAACCAGAGAGTTTGGGTCCTATGTCCCCCCGGGTATCGAGACATTTGGCTACAGCGAACTGTGGCACCCGCGCTTCCTGCATGACTACCTTGACATTGTGCAGGATGAGGTCATGGGAAGCGTCATAGCAGCTCAATTGTTCGGACATGTTCATAGGGATGAGGTCCGCCTCTTACCAAATCCTCCACCTGGAGCTGGTCCCATATTCTTCAATAACCCATGCATCAAGACAGTGAGCTATGATGAAGACACGGGAGAATTCCTGGACTTTGATGTGTTCTACACTCGGATTTCCAACGTCTCCGCTTCGAATTGGGAATTCGGCTACCGCTTCAAAGACCTCTATCAGTTGCAAGACCTTAGCATGCAGAGCCTGTATCAGTTGGCCTCTCAGCTTTCGAAGGGCGAAAGCGCCTGGAAGAGTTATGCGCAGTGGTACACGACATCGTATCCCAATGACTTGCAGAGCTATGCGAAAAACACCAGCGATTCGCCGGAAGAGGCTGCCAAAAAATCCTTCAGACGGCACCAATACCTTTGCGGAATCACACTTTGGTCTGCAAATGGCTATCAAGACTGCGTGGATTCTTTTGCATTCGCTGGCCCACGGGTGCCGGTGAAGCAATTGGTTGGAGCAATTCCCAGGAATGACTTGGATGATGAGCAACAGATGATCTTGGCCAGGTTGCTGAGGTGGGCAGAATTGGCTTACACCTCAGACGCGGCCCGGATCATTGCTTGGGGTGGGCAACATCGTTGGAAAGATATCTTGGAGAAGTATGGACCTGTGGTGCAGCACAGCCGAGAGGCTGGCTTCTCCTTGGATGAGCTGTTTGCCTCCCAGGAGTAGGGCTAAAGGATTTGTACTCAGATTCTTGCGCGCCAGAGGCCGCCCCTTGCCACTTGTGACAGGGCGGCTTCTCAAAAGCGGCGCCTGAAAGCTGAGAAGGCCATGGAGTCTTTTGGTGACCGTGGCAGTTTACATCTCAATTGATGTAGTGCCAGCCACAAACAAGCGCCAGCCGACTGGCGCGACGCTCGCCGGACAAAACATGCCCAATGCAACTTTGCTGATGACTTGTCCCTTGCGTTGGTGTCAGGCTTTGCCTGGCTGGGGGCCTCGCGCGCGTCCCTTTATGCCCTTTGGCCATTTAGGAACTTCTTTGCAGGGAAGACATTAGAATCAACCACGCTTGAAGGAACTTGAAGGTTCCCTCTTTTTATGTCTCAGCATGCTTCCACCATAAACTGGTCTTCTAGATCGGGCCCACCCTCCGGCCCCCCGTGCATCTGTCCAAGTCCTGATGTGTCCCTGGGATAGGTGGCCTCATATGCTCCACATATTAGTGGTACCCGTTATTGGGCCCTTTGGGAAACCTGCGCAGCCCAGGCTCTTTAGTCTTGAGCCACACCCATATCTCATGCCAAGAAGCGAGAAGATGTGTGGTATGTTTCTGCTGGGCACTTCGTCCAACCAGAAATGGCACTCCAAGGAGGCATTGGACCCTTTCAAGAGTCGAAAGTGCCAGGGATCGAGTCATGGTGTCATTTTTCGGTTGGTTTGGATTGAGTAGATAGTTTACATGTAGGTTTGCCGCCTTATGTAAGGCCTACAAATATCCCATGAGTCCCCAATAGGCCTATATTGGCCCAATAGCCCATGGATTCACAAGGCAAAAAATCCCGGATTGTTTCCTCTATGTTTCCCCTATGTTTTCCCTATGTTTTCCCTGCCCCATGTTTCCCCTTTGTGTCCCCTGTGTTTCCCTATGCTTCCCCTATGTTTTCCCTGCCCTATGTTTCCTCTATGTCTTCCCTGCCCTATGTTTCCCTATAATTCCCCTATGTCTTCCCTATTTTACCACAAGGACACCTGAAGGGATCGCCCCGAAAATTCTCCCAGGACTTCATGGCAGCCTTCCTGAAGGCCATGGGAAGCCATGTGGGCAGCACCATCTGCGAGCTGCAGGCGGAACGCGAGCTGAGGGCGGACATGGCGCGTGGATCTTTGCGGGTCACGGGGTTGGGGGGTCTCCAAATTTCTGGGTCCAAGGATTTTTGTTTCTTTTTTTTTGGGGGTGGTTGAAGACGAGGGAAATGTTTGTTTGTGAAATTGGGGGCCCCCCACCCAGGTAAGGGGGATATTGGCGCGTGGAGGTTGGGTCGGAAAACTCCTGAGCGGTTCCTGAAGAAGTCCTTTTGATGGGTGAGTTTGGTTGAAAACAGAGATGGCACTGGCTTAGATGGGTTCTGTTCCAGTTGCCAGGGCCATCATTTTGTATTTTCCCAGACTTATGTTCCTTATCACCTTCTGGCGGTTCCATATCTTCAACTGCCATTTGTTGCCCAGTTTTGGTCGTGCTTCTAGTTCCTCCTTTTTTTGCTGGGGGGGGGAGTGGTTAAGCAGGGCCTGTTGGTTGCCAGTGTTGCTCGTTGTTTCAGAATGGCTTTGGCATGGTTTCTAAGACCGATTCCGCTAGTAAGAAGGGTTCCCATTCGACAGGTGCCTTTACCTTTACATGTAAAAGAATGGTTTGGCCATCAGTCTTGGAAGCAGGCGGCCTTTGAACGCCAGGCTTCTTGACACTTGCGGCATTTCCCGAGATTCCGGCCGAATGCTAGATAGCTCGGACGAAACCACCCCCCTTTTACGCTCAGCTTTCACCTATTTGTCACGTCTCTCGGCACGCCACCGATACGATTCCTGGCCCTCGACCGGGGGGAATCCTGGTTCGTCCCGCCACGCTCACCGCTCATTGCTCCTACCGTTTCAAGAGTCTGGTTTCTTCCGAACCCCCCCCAGCCAACTGGGGGCTCGGCCATGGGAAGCCATGGGCTCACGTCGCCAACCAACATTGGGAACACAGACCAAAGCGTTGAGTTCATAGGTGTCCTTGTTTTGTCGAAATTTAGATGGCCCTGGTTTACCTGTGGTTTAATCACCTACCAGGGAAACCCATCTAATTTCCCCTAAAAGGACACCTATGGTTGAGTTGGTTTTTACTTCCAGCCGTTGTTTTCCGGGGGGGTGGGTGTGTGATTCGGGATTCCCTCGCGAGGTGGGCATGGGGCCCTGTGGGGAGCTCCGGTATCCCTCCTACCTCATGCGCCTCGGAGCGACAGCAAAACGCTTTTTGCGCCCACGGGTACCTGGGGTCTCCAAAGTTATGCTTTGGGATTTTTTGAGGGGGCCATGAGGACGCGCAAGGGGCTATGTCATCGCACAATTGCCGAGATGAGGTTTGTACCCGAACACGGGAATGTGAGAACCTCGTTTGAATTGAGGGACCCCTGGAGAATCTGGATTCATTGTTTGTATTTATCAGTGACTTAACATGGTTGTTGTTGGGAACCATTTACCATTTTTGCTTATAGTGGTTTAGTGGGAAGTCCCCACTTAACTGCTAAAATTATTTTTTTGCACCCCTTCCAACGTCAACCAAGCTAAAGGGAAGCAACAGATATAATGTGTATTAGTATTGTCATTGGACGCCCGCTTAAAAGGAAGGAGTCAATGTTCGAGCAATGGTTTAACGAGGTTCCTCAATACAAGTGTGGTCCCCTTTTTATGTCCGCAGCAAAGTGGCTGATGGGTGGCGACATGTTTGCTGGTCCCCCACCCAAAGCCGTTTGGATGCTCCCGGACTTTCACGAGTAGCTGCTGGGTTTGGTCATTTGCAGTATGGCTCGTGTAAGCCTTTTAGTGGGCTTGGTCATGGTTGTTGTTGGGAACCATTTTTGCCATTTTTGCTTATTGTGGTTTAGTGGTTGAAATCCAAATCCACTTAACTGCTAAAATTTGGAAATCTTTGCTCCCCTTCCAACCTCAACCAAGTGGTAGGACCAAGCGTCAAGGGGTTTCAGGCGCTAAGATCAGGTCCCATGGCTGGAACTGGCCTGGCGTGGGCCTGATCATGGCCTATGACTCCGGCATGCTCAAGATGCTGAAGGCGGCTATCAGTGGGAAGGGTTGGCGGATTTTTTTCTGGATATTTTTTTGGGCCAAGCTTGGCCCAGCGGGTGAGCCATTGCCATCGAGAACACTATACTCTTTGCCAAGCGATTCGAGGCATTCCTTTCCCCTTCTGGCTGTGGCTCAAATAACCGGTGCCACAATGGCACCTTGGTAAATGGAACCAAAGACTATCACTTGCGTAACCCTACCTCTTTAATTTTGAGCCATACCCTTCTTGGTCCCCCACTCGGAGTGACGGACCAGATAAATCTGTCGAGAAAAGCTGAAGCTGGCTCGACAACGGCATCGGATCCCGCATGAGGTGCTGATGTGCCCGTCAGCCATTCCACAAGAGGGGTTTCGCTCGCCCATGCCACTTGCCCCAGGAAAAGGTGGGAGAGCGCTAGCCCAAGCCATTTTCGCCCTTCGAAGTTCCTTTTTCCAGTTGTTTCCAACTGGGCGGATCCAGACGGATCGCAATCGCAACGTGGAACCACCTGCTTTGTGAGAAGCCACGGCGTTCTTGCCAAAGGGGATTCCTGGTGGGATCCTGCCCGGTGGGATCCCTGGTTCAGACCAGAAAGATCAGACGCATCACGTCAAGAAGCCCTAAAATGCTGACTGTTTGATGGTTTCGAAGAGCTTCAAAGGTAAAAACATATGAACCGAGTAAGCAACATGTATCCAAGATAGATCCAAAGGTGGCCGACCCAGACCTCAGACGTGGCTCTGAAGCGGTCTACCCCCACTCAATTGGCCGCCTCTGTGCGGCAGCAGTCCTTGAGCAATGTAGTGCATGATTTTGGACACAGTTCGAAGGGGTTTTGGGGCAAGGGGGGTTGTGAACGGACAATGAAGGATCCTTTCCTTTTTGTTTTTTCCAGATTGGTGGGTAGTTTATACTTGACCCAGATGTAGCCAGCCTGGGCCTCCTGCCAGTTGAAACATGTTCAATTATATGGGGGGCTGGGCCAGGGCTAATTTTGTTGCTAACACCAAAGTTTCTACGGGTTGATTCCCCATTCTTTTCAACCATCTTTAAAAATAAATAAATAAACAAAATGGATGTTTCCCCTGGGTTTTTGGATGGTTTCCTGAAAAGAAGGATCCCTGGAAAGAATGGACATGGAAGGCACCCCTAAGTTGCCACCATCCCCCGTGGCATCCTTGCCACGTTCCGATCCAGGAGGAGGCAGGCATGGATGCGCCGCCCGAGGGCTTCCCAGAGGATCAGAACGCCATGCCGGGAGCCATAGCGAGCTCACCGGCCGGGGGGTTTTCAGGAGCTTGCCAAAGGAACCTTTGCTTGGGGATCCCCGAGGAAAAAAAACAAAAAAGGGGGGGGGGGGGGAAAAACGAAAAAAAAAAAAAAAAAAAAAAAAAAAGCTTCTTGGAATCTGGAGTAAAAGATGCAGAATCTATGCCTGTTCCTCCCCCGCCTGTGCCAAGAGTTGCGCCATATGGTTGGTTAGCTTGGTTACCGGTAATTAGGCGTAGTGCGGAAAAGGAGGTTTCCCCAAACAGTTCTAGGTTCAAGACCCCAATATCAATAGCTGCCAAGTAGGGGTGTTTGCTAAAGAAAGAGCTTAGGGCTGTTCAAACTTGTGTTCGCACAAGCCGTGATAGCAGTTCCTGTCGGGGATGTTAGCGCAAGCAGGCTCACGTTCAGCGAAGAATTTCCGAGTCCTTCTCACATGCTGTGATGCTGTGTATGCGTGCCCCCTTGTATGTCTTCTACGTCAAAACCAATGGTACCATGTTGGGTAGGTGCACCACCAATTTTAGTCAATTTTAGTGGAGATTGGGATGCTCGCTGGGGGTACGGCATTTTGACCCATCTTGTCGCGCTTGGCCTTAGGCCGGACGCGGTGCCGATGTTCCAGGCGAAGGCCGCGGACCCGGCGAGCACGGGCTTCCGGTGCGGCAAGGGCAAGGCGTGGCGAGTGGTGGGGGTGGGTCTGGGGGGTCTGGGGGGGGTGGCCTGCGAACCGAAGCGGAACCGGAGGGGCGTTCCAGGGACCTGCAGTCTAAGAAACATGCTCGTGTAAGGAGGGAGCCGTCGAGCTGCGATGGAAGCGCAATCCTGTCCTGTAGGCATTGGAATCCGGAGCCAGGGGTTGATATTTCTTCAATTTCGAAGAGCTTGATCCTCAGTTTGCGGACTGCAGCGCACGGGGTTTGATTTGCGGAGCCTGTAGCCAGTCCACATTCCCTGCAGCCCCAATGAGCCAAGCACTTGAACTGGAACGATCCTGGCACACTTTTTTTTGATCCAAGGCTGCGGGCACAATGAGGCGCAACCGACGTCGCGACGTCTGTTTTGCAGGAGTTCCTGGAGTGGTACTCGAAAGTCCTGATCCGTCACGGCCACGGCCTCATCCAGGGTATTCCAGGGGGCTCTGCAGCGTCTCCATCTCAGAAGTGTGGAGGCTTCCGAGTTGTCAAGTGATCCTTGCTCGCCTTCCATGTGCGCCCCCCTCCCCCCATTTGCCCCTTTTCCCCCCCCCCCTTCGTCAAGCTTGCTTCCGATTTCAGAAGGCGTTGAGATGTGATCCGCCGCCTAGCGGCTGGTTCCGGTTGGCGACCCTTCTCTCTGCTGCTATTCGGTTGGACCTTCCACCTTCACCCTTGTAAGAATGAGCGAGGACAAGAACAAATTCGTGCAAAGAGCCACCCACGTTCTGGGCATTAGTTGCAATTGAGAACACTTTGCATGGTTGTTGTTGTTGGGGCACATTTTACATTTTTGCTTATTGTGGTTTAGTGGGAAATCCCCACTCAACTGCTAAAAATTAAGTGTTTGCTTCCCTGCCAACGTCAACCAAGTTTGGCAGAAGTCACTTTTATGCGAAGAACATGTCCGCCACCCACCTTCAAGGGTTTTCCCACTCACACGCCATATGTTCGATGCCTCCGGTTTGGTGTTGCCAATTGCAGGCCAGGAGGTGCTGGCCGAAGCTACCGCGGCCGTGAAGAAGGTAGGAGTGGCTGCGGCCTCGGAACTTGAGTTGCTTGGATCTTAGCAGAGGGCCCGTTTTCGGAGCAACCAGGCGGATAGGCACAGTTGGGGTAAGAATATTGAGGCATGGGGGATCACTGCTGCCTGAGTCACCATGCATGAGCATTGTCAGCACCTAAGCGCCTAAGCTTTTGTTCGAGTCATCCATGTTGGACGAAGCTTTACGTGGCCTTTATGATGGAACGGTGTTTTTCTAAAATGCTTCAAGACAAAGTGAGACCCGTGCCGTGGGGCAGAGAATTAGAATACCCTCTCACCATGGTAGCTGACAGAGGGCCCCCTTCAATAAAACAGTTGCTTCTCAGATCCTTCAGGACCACTGTTTGGTTTGAGACCCTACTGTGGATGGACGAAATCTTGCACCACCTAAGAAACCCTGGTTTCTGATTCGATTCCCCTACGTAAATACCAACAAACCATGGCTTATCATGGTGCATTTCGTGGTGCGAAATGGATTTGGTCCATCCACCTTCCCCAGAATTAGCTCCCCCTTTTCCTTTTTTGCTTTTCTGGGTTCCCTTTGTTGTCCACTAACCAGGCAAACAAAATATATTTTTGCTGGCGTCCTAATTCCAGCCAAGCCACAGTATGTGTTTTGATATCCGCCTTTCTGCAACCCGCCCTTCGACCACTCACTGCAGCCAGCCCAAACCCGAGTCCTGCCCGGCGGAGAGCTTCGTCTTCTCCGTGAAGGTGTCGGGCCTGCACTGGCACGCGCGGAGCCCAGGAAGTTCCGGGAGCTTCGGAAGGACTTTTAAGTGATTTGCCGGGTAGGCCCAGGAGCCGGCGGAAAACAGCTCTCTCCCTCTCTATATTTCTATGTCCATTTAGATGTGTGTACATATATATATAGATGTGTGCGTATGCATCATGAAAATAATTATACATGCTGTACATATCTGTACATGATTCCTACGTATGTACATATTTAATAAATATGCATACTATATAATATATATGACAGAACATATATATATATATAATATTATACGTGGTGTGTATGAAAAGCTTTTGTGTGTGTGTATTTAGGGTTATACCTTTGAAACGGTTGCTTGCAAGGGAAAATGGCCGAATCACGCCGATTTGCAGTTGCTTCCCCTAGGGAATGCACTTGGCCTGTGTCCTCTGCCTTTCGCTGGGGCGCCGCTGTTGAGACGCACCAGTGCCGCGGTTTTTTTTCCCTCAGCTGGCCCAGTCCATTTTTTTCAGGGTTGGGGGCAACATGTGGTTTTAACATCGGGCGGCTTTGATGTGCCTTCTGGCTCTCATTGCCTGGCTACATGTTGCCTGACTCCTTGTTCTTTTGATTTATTGTTGCCTTAGGCTTATCACTGCCCCTGGCTCAATTATTGTTGCCTTGGCTTACTGTTGCCGTGGCTTGGGGTGTTTTGCTTGGGAAACATGTCAACGTCAGCTGCAGAGACTTCGCTGCATGAGCCGTTTAGGATGACTGGGTCTTTTCAGCGACATGAAGATCCCGGGGGGCAAGAAGAAGAAGAAGAAGAAGGAGAAGAAGAAGAAGAAGGAGGAGGAGGAGGAGAAGAAGAAGAAGAAGAAGAAGAAGAACACTGTGATTGACTAAATGACCCCCTGTGTTTTCGTTTTTTCCCGGCAGATGGAAAGTTCAGACAGCTTGGCAAGTCATACCAACACATGCTTGGCATGTTTACCATAAGGGCCTGGATAAGTAGAATGGGCTTGGGGTAAAACAAGTGGTCCAGCTTCAGCCGTGAAGCAGCAGCACCCGTGGCCGCAGCTTGAGGTCACGCACCCGTCCAGAGCGACAGAGGCGCGCTCTCGTTCCAGCGACTTGCGGATTGCACTCGATGTCGATGCGAGCGTGGGGCTATCGGTTAGTGTCTCAAGTTTGGGAACACAAAAGACACCTTGATGTTCCTTTGAAAATACGTCGGTTTGAATGACTGAAAGTAACGATGGATTTCTTGAGGTACACTCTTGTCACACACACACACGCGCACACACACGCATGCCACACATGCCACACACACATATATATATATGCATACACGTACATGCATATGTACATGCGCAGGTATACAAGCAGGTGGCATCCACACATTCATATCACACAGGAAACTGTTGCGGAATCTTGGGGGGAGGGAGTTGGAACGTTCCAGCTTTCAGCGCCGTGGCCAAGTGTTTCAAGGTCTCCGCTTATTTGGAAATGCTTGTGAATCGCAATGCAGCCTCTCGCCATTTGGTCAAACATAGGATGTGGCACCTAGCATCCGATAAGGGGGTCCATAGTTGTGACAAGTCAGTTTGATTTGACTGGAATGCCGGAACACTGAACAAAAACAATATTTTGCAATTGGAGAGGCAGTTCTGATGGTCAGGGCGAGCCATGCACACAGGTCATGTTCTGTTCACATGAAAGCGTGCGGGCCACTTCTGGAAGACCGGGCAAGTGCATTTTCCAGGTTGAGGGATCCACCCGATCCAGGTATGTGTCAGACTAGGCACACCTTTACACATGTTCCTTTTGGTTTCGGGTTAAGCCAACCTGAGGGACCCCCACGAAGCCGTCCACGGCACGGTTTGTGCCCCGCGCAGGCCTGCGCTGGCTACAACTGTTGCACCAGCGAGTCGGCCGAGAGCCCCAGCCTCCCGGAGAGAGGGGGATTGAATGGCAGCGGCCACCAATTCTTAGTATATTTGGTTTCTTCTTTGAGCTGGGTGCACCAATTCAGGATGTATGCTGGGTATACTTGTTTGGCTTCTTTCTTAAGCTGGGTGCTGCGTTTGGTTGGCTTCTGCAATATGCCAGGCATGGCCGGGTTAACCGCCCCTTGGCTTTGCATACCTCGGCTGGGCCCGGGCTTCTGGCAGCCACGGCCGTGAAACAACATCTCAGATGGCCATGCAAAATAACCCCAGCTTGCCCATGAGTCTTTTTTCTCCTCTGAAATGAGCACCTGGTAGGCAGG